TTGTTTACTCATTCAGTGTTCTCTGTTCGATAACAACTTTCACCAGTTGGGTGGATATTGAGCTATATATGAGACAGAAAACTGGACTAACAATCCGATATCAGAACAAAGACATTTTAATGTGTTGTGAAAGTAATTACAAGGACACAGATTTAATATTTCTTTTTATTGTTGGGAAAATTTCACATTCATAACAAGTAATTGTCAGACTCCAAACCAGGTTTTAGACATTTATTTCAAGAACTGCATCAATATGGCACAACTAAAAGGAACCTTAAGAACAACTACGACAAAAAACTAGCCATTAAAACTATGTTATTTTTTCTTTTGAACCTATGATATTTTTTTTCCAAGTAAGGTAATACTTTTTCTTTTTTTTAAATAATGTATTGCTGTATGTACTCCTAGCATTAGCACATTTGTTTGTACATAATATTCAAGTACTGTAGGCGCATGTGGCTAAGATGCTAAAAGGTAAAAAGGCAAATTTTTTTTTTTTGTATTTACAATTCATGATGTAAAAATAAGAAAATATACCGTTCATATACTGTTTACCAGTTTAGCTAATAGCCTGTTTAACACCATAGGGTTGTGTATTTTTTTTTAAATTTGTCAAAATTTTTATCGCCTCACCAAAATAACAATGTTAAAACTTTGTTCAAAATGCAAATCTCATGCAATCATAAAAAATATTTCTTTCCAAAAGCAACCTGACAGTACAGTAAATCACATCGTAGAAGAACCAAAGACAAGTCAACAAGACTGATTAAAAAATAAATAAATAAACCTTAATTATTAATCAAAGGGGGGAGGAAAAAAAAACGCTGGCAACCAAGCACTGATTTAAATTTACAATGAAATTGAAAATTTTCTTGAAATAACTGCCGAAGGTTCCTGGCAGAGAAAGCAGCATATATAACAGCTCATTTACATATCTCTGTATGGGAGTTATTTGAAATCTCATCGCCACGTGGAGGTCAAACTACTGACCTTTCTTTTCCTCTCTGGATTTGTGTAATAATGATGATGTTGATCTGGTCATAGCGGCACTGAATCCTTCCATCAGTGAGGCGAAAAGATGATTTCACTGAATGAAAATGATTCAAATTTCTAAAAAAGAAAAGGTATTGATGTGTCAAAAGCATTTGATTTTTCTGCTTCTTCATGCCTGCTTTTTGTTTCTCTCTCTCTCTCCTCACAAAAAATAAGTAATTATTTATTTGAAGAATGTTTAAACTATAGGTCTTTTCAGAAAAGTAATGGTTTTATTATGTCAGAGCAGAAAGCTGATTTGATGCTTTTGATAAACGTGTTTTGGGGGCAATATTTCTGTAATGATGTGAGGACATTGTGGGAATAGAGCCATAAATCAAGCAATTTCATTCACAGGCTTTCTCCTCAGAGCTTGCTAGATCACCACTCATGGCTGTGATGGGATTTGGGATGGAGAATTGGGAGGCCAGGTTGAAGCTCAAGCTGTAAGTAACAATGATATATGATTCACCCTCTCATCTGAATGGCTGCTACTTGTCAATGTCATCGCTTATGCAACACAGTTCGGCTGTTTTTCATAGACGCGGCCAAAATTATACCAGAATTTTTAACTCTTTTAGTCCCATA